TCCCCTGGGATCCCTGCTGGCCATGAGGGGCTCACGGGGCAGCTGGACGCGGCCGCACTGAAATGGAAGCAAGTGCAGGCTGTATTGCTGGTCCGAGGATCTGGGATTTGAGGGAGGATCGGAGGCGAGAACTGTGCCTCCGGATGTGCCCCTGCCCCATCCCCCCTCCAGAAGGACCTGGGAGCACGTGCACAAAGCTGGGAGGTTGTCGTCTCTTAGTGGCCCAACCCTGGGAGCGCCCTTATTCAGAAGTAGCCATGAGGACAGGGCACCAAGGTGCTGTCCCTAGACCCGCAGGAGCAGCGGGGGAGGGGCTACTTGTCACCCGGCACTTGGATCCCACACACAGACCTGTGTCTCCAGGTTCAAGTGATGCATCCACAGGTCAACCCCCACACCCGGCCCAGTAATGTTGGTGCTTCCTTCCCAAGAGATGCCAACCATGCAGAAGCAAAGCCTTGCCTCTGGCAGTGGCACCGGCAAGAGAGGGCAGTTGTTAAGGAAAGACAGCCTAAAACAGCAAAAACACACTGGCAGCCCACACACAGACGGTCCCTCTGTGACGGCAGTAATATACGCAGGGCGCAGAGCAAGCCCGCGTGCAGATTTCATCACCTTCTTCTTCTTCTTCTTTTTTGAAATTTCATATCCCTGTTCCCCGGTCTCCAGAGCAGCCTGTGTAGCCCTGCTGCCCCCGGGCACCTCTCCCCTAGGACCCTACCCGGGGGCGCTCCCCACCTGGAGAGTCTTCATCCTCGCTGGTCACATGACCTCTCCACAAGCCGTTCTTTAGAGGCACGAACACGAGCAATCACATTAGGAGAGGGAGGGGCTCACGCGGTGTCACCCGGCTCTTTGCAGTGGGTTCGCAGACATCCCAAGGCTCCGTGGAACCAGAGCCCTTCACCGCGACATTGACGACAGTCGCAGACCTTCACGTGAGAGAGAGGGACCCGCTCAAGCGCTCACTTGCCCGCTTCCGCCGGGGCATCCGAGCTCGAGCCTCTGATCGCCTTGGCCTGTACTTGTAGCTGAGTTGCACGTGCTGCGGCTTAAGCAGCTCTGAGGATCAGATCCTGGAGCAGACACAGCGCTGCTGCCCAAGAGAACGTTCAGGGAGGACGGAAACGTGCTCTGTTGACTGGGTCCCTGAAATGCGGGCCGGTGTGATGCGGGCCTGCATGTGTCATTGGATCTCCTTTAGTGAATTTAAATAGGAGCAGGCACCTCTGACTT